CTGAACAGTGGCCAGATCTGAAGCGTCAAGGTTTATATTAATTATTACCTGCCAGGATATATTTTGGCTCTCCACTAAGCCAGTCTACGAGATCAACAGCTAAATGTAGCTTATAAATTATTCTTTAGCTAGGCTTTTTGACAGAGTTTACCATTTTCCGTAGTCTATTAAATAAACAGATAGCTAAAGGGGAACAAAGATTCTTTTGAATAAATTTTGCTGTATATACTAAAAAAATAAACCCAAACTTCCATATTTTATCCTTCAATTGGAAAAGGATAGAAATGATAGAAAATACAATTAGCAGGTATTGTCTTTCAGCACAGCTGCTATCAGATTACAAAAGCAATGAGCACATATTAAATTTCTTGTAAGAAATAACTTGTAAGAACTGCTATAAATATTTAACACTTTCTTTGCACAAGGCAACAGGCATAGCTTCAGTCATTTCAAGACCCAAACCAGCTTTTTATGAAGACAGGTTCTAAAAAAAGCAAAATAAAGCAAAAACCCAAAAGGAATAGATTAAATGAAAACATTCTAGTTGCTTATAGCAATCCTGCTGCAGAGAAGACAAAATATTTTTGATGTAACACTGTGCATTTCACACCCTTACTATCCATCGTTCTGTTTATCTGTATTGACTTCTGTGGAGCTGTTCTTATTTGGCTTGCAAATTAATCACAGAAAGCTTTCTAGATTTCTATTTGGCCTTGTCTCTATGCACCACACTAAAAAATAATTTTTTTTTTTAAAGCTTTTTTAAAAAAGCATCTTGCAGTATACCTACAGGCCTCCCTTTATTTCAAGATAGATATATGATTCGTAGAGCAGGAGTACAAATGTTCCAAAATTAATGGTTGCTATGATTATATACATCTGAGTCTGGATTTTAATCACTTGACTCGCACAGATCCAGCCATTACATTAATAACAGAGTTTCATATTAAAATACAACAATTGCATAGCTAGGGTTTTAGTTTCAGTTTCCTGTACTATTCCAGACCAGAAACATTTTTCTCTAATTTCACATTTAGGGTTTTGCACTGCATATGCAAAAACTCTCGTTGTCATCTTCTCTGCTCTTTACCCACTGTACATACCAACAGTTCCCAAATTATGAGTCTTCCTTGGAATCTTCCCTAAAATAAATTTTAAAAAAAGGTGTGGGGAGAAGGATCCCCTTATTATACAGAGAAATATAGTAGTGTCTTTGTCTAAGAAGTCTTCTCTGACAGAAATCAATACGAAGGATAAGAAATCAAGATGAGGTTTTTATTACCAGAGATAGCCTCAAGAATCACAGGGGAGAGCCTAACACACAGGCTTTGCTGTAATGTATCTTATGCCCTCTAGCTGTAACAAATTACACTGTGAATTTCTTGGAGGATTTATATGCCGCTGCTCAGTGCTCTGGGGAGCATTTAATCAGTGGCATTGCTGACCTAATAACAGGGGATCTAAGTAATAGAAACTTTTATGTACGTTATGTGTTATTCCCACAGATTTGGGGATTGGTTTTCTGGAGGAAGGAGGAGGCAAGGGGTAAATGTGCTTTCATAATAGGTTTACACTTTACTGATTAGCTTTGAATGATCTTCTTGCTCTGCCTGCTGACTTGAGGACTGTCAGAAAAAGAATTGGCCAAGCTTCATGGTGAGTGAATGAAACTCCTTCTGAAGCAGGGGGTTCCTGCGCTTTATTTATTCATTTTGAACATTCCTCACAGCCAGACCAGGCTTTGATGCAGAGGGAAAGGAGAAAGAAATAGGAAGTGATCATGTTATATTTCCCTTTTTCACAAGACTGTTTTGTTGAGCTGAGTTTACTGCCAATACGCCTGTTCATGGAGCTCCCTAGGTAGCAGGGGGTGGGGAGGGAGGTGGCAGGAGGAAGATAAATGGAGAGAGAGGTTTTGCACTGAAACTCCACAGAATAGGG